AAGATAAAGTTATACAAAATTAAAAGAAATTGCCTGAATATATATATATTAAAAAAAACGGAAGTAAAAAAAATCGGAAACATTGTCACCTACCATCTTTTTATATATAGCCTCTGTAAAGTAAAAGCTGATCCTTGTTGCTATTTATAGCCCTAAATACGCTGCAAATCAATTAGGCCCTTCTAATGGGTTTAAATTATGTATTCTCACTAATGTATAAAATAAGAAGGTACGATTGGTGAAAACTCTTGCTTTAAAAACATCTTTGAATTAAATTTCCTATATAAAAATTCAATACGGAACTTCAACTATAGTTAAACCCACTAGGTTTACTACGCATCTTTAAATTCCCAACGATAGTCTACCAAACTACCTTTAAACATATTCTCACATTCGATATTAACTCATGACTAATTCAAAATGTAATAAATTAGTCAATTGAAATTTACGTTACCCGTCTCTAGAACCAGTTACATACCTCCAAAACCTTGTAAAACCACATTCCCGTTAACTAATACGTACTTTTACCTCAGGTATTGATTTTTTATATGAATACTCAATAGCTAAGGGCTAGGCTAACAAAAAACGTACAATGTTCTACCTATCTCTAATATCAATGAGCTTTATTTCGTCCCTAAGATCAAGTATTTGAATTGGGAGACGTTTACCTGCACCTGGCTTTAGAACTTTGAAATCAGAATATTATACAAAAACCTCTTAAATAGAAATACATCAAAAGGCAGGACGTCTAGACATACTTTTTTTAGTTCTCAGAACGAGCAGGTAGTTCGACCCCGCGCTAAAATTAGGGGTCTTCATTTAAAAATACATTTGAGTTTTAAAAACATCTATTTAAATAGTACATTTTGGCACATATCGACATTGATCTCACATTAGCAACTTATTAAGACTTAACTACTACATGGCAACTTGTAGGAATTAAAGTTTATTTGTACTTATTTTATATACTAAATCTGATCACATTTTATCATAGTATTTTTTCGATACATTGGAATAAATTATTAAAATAAATTTTCACTATATTCTAATTTCATTCGTATTAAACGTATTATGTATATCACCTCTTTAATCATTCCTACGACTAGAAAATAATTGTCACTATCGAACTTTTAACATGAAATACAGTGGAAGCTTTTCTGAAAACTTACCGGAAGTAATACCAAATATAATATATAATCTATGAGATATATAAAATTATTGATTTGCGTTCATCGTAAAGCTTAACAATACTAACAATTTGACAAACAAATTCGCATGACATTATTTTACTACATAACGTTGGCCGACATTGGAGTTCTTTGGCTTTTGGGTTTAGTATTTCTTAAATCAATTTGAGTCATCATAAATCTCTGTTTTAGCGGCATTCGTAAATGCACTAGACACCTTAGGAGGGTGAGTATGAACCGGCGGCTGGCCAAGTACTCTGTCATACAAAGTGAGGATAGACGCCGGACAGTTCCGAGACTTTCTCGATGAACAGTACCAAAGCACGCGAGCTTTTTCACGTCTCTTCGATGAGTTTACGAAGTATGTATTGCCTTCGAAAAATAATAATTTCCCTCCTCTCGGCGTGTACAGGTATCGGGCGCCACCTTGCAATTATAGTGGGTTTGTTAAACAATCATAATAATCTTATCAAATAAAATATTCAAAATGTATATGTAAACATAACCACATACCTGCAAGGTCGAGATACATCTGGATAGATGCTTACGCCGTCGGTCATGAGAGTATATATATAAACATTTATTTATGATATCAAAAACAAGTATATACCTTCAAAACCGACGACGTACTCGGAACAAGGAAGATCGAAATAAAATATATGTACAAAATAATTAGATGGGTTTATTATTAAACTATGAATCATTTAACATCATTATAGGTAAATGTAAAATAGTGACATGCATATATATTGTGTACAACTAACATTAATTTAAGCAATACATAACGTGGCAGAGTACAGTTTTATTAAGTAAATATATATTTTAACCAAATTGGTTGAGAAGCAAAAAGCGTTCAACAAGTGTACAAGCAATAAATGCGAGGTTATCACTATTCTTCTAAAACCCCAACCTGATTAGTTTTGAGTATATGATAAAATTGTACTTAGTACAGAAATTAGCCTTTAATTTTGAGTGAATTGTAAACCGTATTTAAATCAGGATCAGTGCTTTAGAAGACCATTTCTGACTAGACTTTACTTGTTATACATAATTAGTTAAAATTTCAAGCGTATTCGTAGTAAACAGTCACAGCGCTGTTTAGGCTGAACTGCAATACTGCAAGTAGGCGCGTGTATTTTGCTGCCACTGCGCCAACGCCACACTATCACCGGTTCTTGCACCAGTCCACCGTTAATCGCGATCTCTACAATGATATCCTAGTTTTACCTAACTGATGATTATAAAACTGCTAAGTTAACTGCAACATAAGCCATACAAAGCTTTTATACAAATATACATTTACTTTCATGTACTATTTAATTTTAAACGATTATTCGATATTATATAGTATAGCAAATACAACTTTTGATGTACCTATATTTTAGGGTTATACTTCAGATGTGCTCTGTTAAAATAAACGCTGAGAGCTATATATACACTTTAAAATCAAACATCGCAACGATATTAGATTCCTGTATAAAAACACTTTATTAATACAAGTATCAAAAATTAGCATAGATTATGAAAGATTACAGCTACGATGAAAGCTCACAACGGAAATCCGCCATACCTATAACCCATGGAATAGATAAAAAATGGTACGGAACAGGCTCCCTTGACTAATTTTTATGGCAGCCATTACACGGAAGTTGTAGCGAAGTTATTGCGTATGTTTTGAGGGATGGGGAGACTGGATCGATCCCACGAGCTCGCGCATGCCTCGCCCGGACATACCTAGATTCGCGGATTCAACGCCTATGTTTATGAAAACTTTATTGCGATGTTTGAAATCATCGATTTTGATGGCGCCGCTCTATCGCTTTCTGTACAATTTTGGATTTCCGTCAACTGCTAATCACTATTTCTATATGAAATATATTAATGTTTTTATGCTTGTATTGTGATAATAGTATTACATTTTAATGTTAAGTAATTACTAATTACATATACTGAGCGCATCTTATTGTTGAAAGAAATTTAATATTCTATAAATATATTTACTATATAAGAAAAAGTAGAGCCCTTATATTTAATTAAATTAATAATCAATATAATTAAAAGATTATAAAATGCAAATATACGTTATAAGTGTACATATATACCTGTAGTATATTAAACGTATTCAGGATATATTACAGTTAAATATAATAACTAACATAATTACGTTGGTACCATAATAAACACCATTAGACACGGAGCAAAAGAGGTCGCGTACTCCGGAACGTTTTCCTTCCACGCACACATCCAAGATAAGAAAGGGACGTCAAAATTAGGGCATATAGGGCGTAACTAGGCTGTAGCGCGGGAAACGGGAACTTGCCCTGCCGAACTTTCTTTCATAACTTTGTAGCTCGTATTGATCCATCAAACTGCGCAATTCATATCCCCCATACAGATATTGCAACGAAACTACTTCAAAGTAAACCGCGACCCCCAAATCTGTATCGGATGACGATTATTGAATGTTGCGTATTTGGAAATTTTTCCTAGTTCTCAGTCCCTCCTGTTTGTTTTGTAGATGGGTTTTAGATGATTTTGCTGTAAGAGGTTATCTTCAGCATTTATGTTTGTCTTTTATTATTTGATATAGTGTATTCAATTAAAATAAATATATCAATTAGTCTTTCCATATAATTACCTACAGACCATTAGCTAAAACAAAACAATTTATTATTTAACCATCATGACAGTAAAGCATGAATCTGGCTGACACTATAAGTTGCGTAATTACCTATGTATCTAGTATATACCTCCTTTAACACTCTGATCTTATAATTTATATTTTTATTTCTTATTTATCTCAACAAACATTTATTAGGCAAAAGCAAAACAAAAATACCGCGTCTACATGTTTCATATAATAAACATTTCGTTCAATTGCGTTTACTTTGATTTAACTAAAAAGGTGGCCTCATAACCTGATTCATATTAAGAGGTCGAGCGTTATGAAGTTCGCTTTTATGTTTAACAATTCCTAGTATTTAATGTTATTTTCAAGATTTTTTTCTTGTAACTTTCAAAAATTTATATCGTAATGTATAATATTACAAAAACCTTAAAAAATTAAATGCCTAAATGTCCAATAACAGCCAATTAAATACCTTTTTAATCTTAATTATGGATTTAGGCGATAAGCAAAATAGTAAAGGATTCGTAATTACACCCTATTTATTGCATATCAAAAGATAATAAAAAACTAACTAAATTTGTCCATGTTATTTAATCAAAATGTTTTAGGTACTAAATTTTTAACAATTTCATAAAGAAACTTAATGGTTAACTCTCCTGCAAAGATAATAAATTCAACTTTTCAATTTATAAACGACTAAATAATACTAAAGCTTCTAAATTATGCAAAATCATTTGTACATTTTTTCATTCTTCAACACTTATCTAACTAACATAAAAGTTTTCTTAAGTAAACAAAGTCAATCTGCCAAAACTTACTTCACCAATATGTCATAAAATGATTCCATTCAACCACATATTGTGTATTTAGGAAACCTTACACAAATTGTTCTTTAATTGATACGCTTTTTTATTATAACTCAAGATTGAATTTCGGCTTTATTAAGAAGAGTATTAAGCTTCGTACTGAATGATATTTAGTATTTATGTATGAGATGTTAAGAATTCGGAACCTACCATACAAATAATAAAATAAAAAAAAGTATAAAAAATATAAATAAAAAAATACATAATTGATTAACAAAAAAAAGGATTCGAAATTGAAGGAAGTCATAAAAAAATCTAAAAAAAAATATACAAAAAACATACCTTCCAGTCATGAATCATTTTCAAATAGATTTGCTACCTATATCTATGATAAGCGTCTTTACGTCTCACATACTTGCCATCTGGTGTGAAATAGTAGCTGGGAGGTGCGTGTATATGTCTTCCTCTAATCAGGAACAGTACGTCCCCATCGCCACATCTTGCTGGGGCGGTTATGACGTCAGCACGACAACCTGCCATATCCCTCGAGGAACAGTACCACTGCTTCCTACCATGAGCCTGAAGGTTCTTCAGATAATATGTGTAACCCTCGTGTAGTAACAGGGACTTCCCCGTCCTCGAAGGCACGTACACCGCCGGCACCGATTCTGAACCATCCCACAATATCAGCATTCTACATATTAACTTTACTACTTAATATTACTTACATTAATAAATGAAACGCTATTGAATGGTGAAACATATTTAGAATTTAATGTTTATAATGTAACGATTATGAAATTATAGTTTATATTCCGTTATAAATCTATATAATGTAGTACATGTAACAACAGCTCTATGGCAATTTAAAGTAAAAAAATATATTTTCTTCGCCCAGATAGATTGTTTAAATGTTGTAAGATAAGGAAATAACAAGTTCATTTCACAATTGAGTTCATTGTTTAACTCAAAAAAATTATGAAAAGTAACAAACTTTCAAGTAAACAATTATATACGTATATGATATGATTTGAATATACTAAAAATATATTTTGAGGCGTTTTTAATTACACAAAGTATTAATATAAGACAAACATCGTAAAAAATGAATAACATAAAAATATCACTACATACAAGTTGTGTTGATTTCCGTAGAAAAAACGTTATGAATATATTATTGCTATATAATAGCTTTTACTTTCAATAAAGATAGAAAAGGACAAAATAATATTGTAACAAAAGTAAAAGTTTAAAAAATAATGGAATTCCTATGAAGACTTCTGTGAAGCTTTGTTATTTAAATTAAGTCTTTTATGGTACAATCCGAATATTTCATTCAAATCTAGTATCGCTAGGGGCATACGTGAGGACGTACGCGTTTCTAGTGGTCAACGGGCATGATTATGCTTCCCATCCACTGCGACCACTTCCCTTTGAAAAGTTCGCAGTGTCGCTGTACAATGAAATTTGTTCCGAGAGGCACAGTACCATAGCACTTTAGGCTGATTCCTATAGGCGTTGTGAGGACGGTAGTAGTAGCCGTCTAAAACTAGCTTCGGGTAGCCTTTCTCGTTATATATAACTTCCACTGTAACATGCGATATTGTTAATTTATACAATTCATATTAAGTAAAAAACATGCTAGAGACATACCTTAATAACGTTTTGATTATAAATTGATCGAATGTGGCTTTTATTTGACGAATGATGACAGTAAATTTTCCAGTTGTATATATAATTTAAGTCTATTAAAAAGAGCATCCGCTACAAGCGGTCATATTATAACATGCTTGACCTATAAACAAGTTTTAAAATGACATTATCAAAACACCAAATAAAGATTATAAAGATGTCGTAAGATGTGACTCATAAGTTGACTCTGATTAGATATCAGAAGGATACTAAAATGACGTTAACATTAAAAAAAAGATATTTAAAAAAAGTTCGTTTATTCTATAATACAACAAACAAACAACCGAATCCCTATGGATTCAATTGTTTTCTTAATGCTAGGGTAAAGTTTATATTTAATTGGAAAGTAAATGAATATAAAAAGATTATTTTATACTTGAGTTTAAGTTACAGAGCAAACGATACAATAAATGATATTACAATGTGGTTCTTTCTATTATTATAGGTACTAGAGCTATTTACTGCGTAATGTAGATCATTCTCTTGATATGGGTAATTATGCGCATAACATTTAAGCTTGAATTAATCAGCCTACGTTTCCGAGTATCGCTAGGGTTTTAAATTAAAAGAGGCACTTTATGAAGATACTAAAACGATTTAAATAATTGATAAGAAAACTAAATATTTAGACGGTGGGCATTTACGTGAGGAACGTTTAAAAGTACTAAAGAGGTAGAATTTTTTGTCATAAACAAATCATAATTGAGTATTATTATTCATAACATTGTATCTCTTTCCTTCTCTTCTCTTAGTAAGGTAAAATATAATATTTAAAAAAAATAAGTAAAATGCTAAAACGTCGTGATAATAAAACTACTTAAAAATAATATTTAAAACCAATAACTAGCAACATTGTAAACTAAACTGTGTAATTGCAATTGCTTCTACATAGATGCCTTAACTCCGAGAAGACCATTCTCTTGCCTGTAGTATGTATTCTCGCGCCACATCCTCTCGCACAGATCCATCGTCTTTTACTTCGGTAACATGCGTCCAATTTGTACCAGAATCCACCCATTTTCAATAATTGCTCCTCTTCAATTACGTTATTGTCAGACGAGGAAAATAATACTGCGTACAAAGGTAATTATAAAGACATCAAAATAGGCATTAAATAAACGATCCAAATAGTTTATCCAACGAACTTCGTCTCTAGACTTGTAAATTCGTTTCAATTTCATAGACACGTGTGGTAGTATAGGTAAATAAATACTATGAATAAAAGTGAGGTTTTGAATACAATTTGATTTATGAATATAAACATAATATCGCCACGTGACTTTTACATATAGTGATGTGACTAAATACACAAAAAAAATGTGATAGGTTGGTTTCGGATTCTAATAGCTGTAAACTTAAAATTATAACAGTAGAAAAATAACAGTCAAAAAGTGTAAGTAGCCTTAGAAAATCTTTGGTAAAATGGAAAATCAGTTTCTTGTAAACTAGCGCGGTTACTGCACCTATAGCATACACGCTGTCTCTACTAAGTCACATTTATATAAGTCTCTAATATAAAAACTATCGCATATATTTTTCATAAGCTGGTATACATTAATTCTACGCTATGTTATACTCTACATCTAGGTACAAATCATAAATATTGGAGTATTTAACATGTCTATCAGTCGTGCCGCATCCTACGCCGCGGTCAATAAATAGAATTTTGTAAAAAAGCTTCAACAAGACGGCTACGCTATCATTAAAGCTATACACTTTGTATACATAACTTCTAAATACTTTGGTAAGAGAATATTGCACACCATGTTACATCGTCTATACATTACATTTATATATCTCGCTCCCTATAAAATTAGCCACTAAGGCATTGGTACAAGGCGACCGTGGGGTGACTAAATCCTAATAATTATTATATTTTATAAAAAAAAATATCCCCACGAAGCATTCTACTCAGAAACTCTAAAAGCTTGTTATTTTGATAACAAGTGTTAAATAATGCAAGTAACGTAACTTTGGCTTACTTATTAACTTAGGCAGTCTTTTAAAGATAGTTAATAGTTAACAAAAATAATAATAAAGATTATATAATAACCGTAACACATACAGTTCATTGCACATTCCCAAACATTTTATCGACACTCCAAGTACAGTCAATGACGTCTATCTAAGAAGCCGCGTACTAGGAGGTCGCGCCAGGCCTAGAGAAAGAGCGCGGCGTGCGGAGCGGGGGGCAGTACGGGAGCAGGGGCCGCGACTACAGTACGAGGGGCACAACTTTCCACAATTTTATATTTGCCCATTGGATCAACTTCAAACCTCCTAGATTCATGTTTCGCTGGGTTGTATGTAGCAGGATGGTTGTGAGAGCCTCGGAAATATACCAAGCGTCCATCTCTAAGGCACAAAGCCACTTGACATCTTTCTGCTTTTTGGTAGGATCTCGCACATCTCCATGTCACACGACGTGGATGGGAGCCGCCGTCTTCATAGAAAATGTGCCCATCTGCGACCAGGTGCAAGCCGCCGCGGGCTGAACGGATATAAAACCATCCTGAAACAATAATTAACCATACTATGTAATGTAAACGTATATAAAGTACAAAATTCCTAATACCTCTTCATTCTTTAAAGCGCTTACAATTATATAATTTATTGAATTAATATTAAGGGTACCGTACCTTTACCGAAGTGAAACATAAATAGCACAATTCTAGCAAAATAACATCGTTTTGTTTCTGATAAAACTAGATGGCTTATGTGCAAGACATAATAGATCAATTCTAGATGGTTACTGAACTAGAAAAGTAATGATCATTGTTTTAATCAAATTAAATATTTTAATTATAATTAATTTTTTACTTGCATTTTAAACAATTTTTTTAAATACCACCATAGAATTTATTTAGAATAACTTATATGGAAAGGACTATGTAATAAAACAAAAAGCCTGACATCAGCGCAATATAATCATTTCTTTGTACCTATACAGAGAGAACTCTTCTCACTACCAGTACTCACTACACAGCGTATACATTTCACTCGGCGACTCTCGCCCGTAGCTACCTTTAACCATAATATTAATACTTTCCACTAAAATAATATAAAATATCTTATCACAATACAAAATAATACTTCCAAAATAATACTCCAAGGGTTAACTTATAAATATCGTATACATCATATATGGTAAAAACTGGTACAACTCTATATGGTAAACATTGTGCGGTATATAGCTATTGCATCCAAAAATAAATCTTTGTGTAAAGTACAGCCTGGGCTATAACATATTATCTTTAATAAAAATATGGTATTTAAGTACTCACTAAACGAATAATAAAAAAATAATCTTAAAAATGTTTCAAAAAAAATAAAGATCTCACTAAAAACAAAAATCTTATAACTACAACGTATACATTGAGTATTATTATTAATTAAATTGTTCAATAAATGCAGCTTCCTACCTTAACAATTCGATACATTAACTTCCTAACATCGTATACATGACATGACTTGATTTTAACAATCTCTTTGCTCTACAACGAAACTTTATCAATCTGATCGCAAACCGAAACCGACCATTCAGAGTCGAAACTCCTTTTCAACAATCATTTTATATACAATACACGAATAAAATTGTAAAAAAATATGTAAAAGTAATATATAAAAATACTTAATATCATAAGAGAACTATCACTTTGTACAACAAACTACATCTAGGACCGTCGCGAGGAAGATCTAGACTGAGACCGGCAAGAATATACTCCTTAGCATTCCGCTCGTAACATACAAAAAATACTCTTTCTATAAATGCATATTGAAAATACTGTTAAAAAAATACTGGCCTTATACATAAATTGTCAGTGATATACTTTTATTTACTATGTGTTCTAGAAAAAATCCCCTGCGTAGGATTGAGGGGAGGACGCTTCCACCTACTTGGGGGAACTTGCCTAAGATCAGCCTTACGTTATTGTTCGCAAACGGTCTCACTAACGTACTAACAATAGATTCGTATACTTTACACAGACCATGTACGTTAACTATACTTGTATAATATAGATGTGTTAAATATAATCTCTTTGGAGAATCAAAAAAATAGCAAACACATGTTTGCTCTATATCCCATAGAAGCGTTACTATCGCGTTCAAAGAAAGCGTATGGTGACCACCGGTGGAAAGGCACATGAACATTAATAATCATTCCATTCGAAGGATTTATTCGAGCCAGCTTAAATGCGCACTGCCAACTCTCATCACCGAATAAAACAAAATTGAGATCACATCTTGTGCCACCACTCAGATTTTACCGGCGGTCGGAGAAATGAATTGACTTATTTATGACTTGCATTAAATATGAGATTTTTGTAGAGAGCGCGATTAAAACATGGGTCTGAGAGGTGTTGCACGAACGCCGCAAGTATGCGCGCTATTCATTTGGACCACGCGCAACCCGAACGTGTGAACAGCGGCCCGACAACGTGGGTTCCTCGAGCACCGCCACCAAACCTTCCCGCTCGCCGCACGACCGTTGAAGCAGAATCTATGAGCTCCAACTTCAATTGCTGGCTTTCCACGTTTACTGAGGCAGTAGCGGAATTGTCCAGGAAAGCAGGGGAACGGAAACGGCAAGCCAAGTGTTGGAGGAGCATCGGCTGGGACCCCTGTGCCTGTAACTGAAGGACACCTTTTAGTAACCATAGTAAAAACTATAACTTATCAACTAAATAACATACCTATCCTTTAAACTAATAAAATATATTTATAGGGCAAATAAATTGGTTCTTTGAAAAGTAATATGATTTTATTATGTAGAAATTATAAAAAATTATCGACGACTAGATTCGATATTGACGATATACACTTTTGTTTAAAAAAAATTTAACAAACATTGACTCTCTATAAAAATATAAATCTTGTCTATAAAATAAGCTTACTCTTTTGATAAATCTTCTCATAATCAATCCTTAAAGTTTAAAGGAAATAAAAACCTAAACATGTGAATGATCAATCATGCCATGCCATGTACGACACAAACAATTACAAACTTATACCATTAATGTTAATTTTAGTGGAAAATGGATTTTTTCGTCTTTTGCGTGTTTTATTGAGGGCCCTCCTATGCCTATGATTGGTGTGAGGGTTTTCTATAGCAGTAACATGGTTGGACTCTGTAAGGGCGTAGGCTTTACAACCGTGATCGGATTTAATGCAGCGCCAAGTTCCTTTGCCACGAACGATTTTTCCAGACCGACGGTACCTTTCGCCCCCGATGACCAGCACAGGGTTACCGAAACGAGACATGCCCCAGCTCACTGTAATAAATATATAAAGTACCATTCCACTCACACACGGCATCTTATAACATCAAATGACACATTCGCATAGTAAAATACACGAAAATGTAGAATATTATTACTTATTTACAATGTTATAAAACGAATTATTATGTATTATTTATCAAAATATTTATAAATATTTTTTTATAAATTATAAAAAAAGCTTTAGGAAATTAAAGAAAGTTAGAAAATTTATTATATTAAAGAAAATTAGATAAATTAGAAAATTAAAAAGCTTTAGAAAAAAGGATACCTTAAAAAATATAATAATTATATTTAAAAAAATATTTTATTTCATAACACAAATACCTACTCGTAGTTTTCACTCGCACAATATTTTTATTTAACTTATTTGTATATCTAAACCTATTACAACATTATTACTGTTTGATCCGATTGATTTTCATTTTTATTAAAAAAATAAACATAATTTGGTGATAAATAATTTTGCAAACACTTGCACATTTACATTGAAATCGACAATCAGTTATTTCTAATGAGGCACAAAATATGAAATCTTCTTTATCAACTAGCGTAAATCTAAAGGAATTTCTACTTTTTGTGGTTAATATTTGGTACTTATTTTAAATAAGGCATGTTAATTACACTATAAGTAGGAAAAATATATATCCTAAAAATAACACACGATCAAATTCTTTGTCTTGTTATGAGAACTCATCCAAAATAAATTATGTTTGAGATCATTTGGAATGGAACGGATTGAAAGTCGCAATTTTAATTTTTAAATAAATTTCCAAAGAAACAACTTTGTTAATTAGAAAAGCTTCCTAAATAATTATCTAAAATATAACTAATACCTGTTCATATTAATGATTATAATACTACATTTCAACTAAAAGAAGATGTTGCTCTTAATCTATATTACTTAAAGCGTCTATTTCTGAACATATCAAAAAGCACACAAATCAAATAAAATGAATAACACTATCTGTGGAATGCATTTCCAGGATATATAAATGTATCAGTTATTCACAGCCACAAAAGCCACTGATGTGATTTGTATTTCACTTTTCATCGCCACATCTACAAGGACTAAGTACTTTTGAGTGGCGTATGCCAGTCGATCAAAGGTTTTTCAGGCGGAGTCGGTGTATCGAAGTTAAATGGTGTAAAATTTGGTTCATGATTATGACCACCTTTGATTCTTATGAAACGTCCATTCATAGTTGTTTGCACTCTACATAGACATCCTTTTGTATCTTTATCACGACAGGCCCAGTTCAGTTTGTCTCGATACTGGTTGTTTACCCAGAATTTATTCGATTGAAATATCAGCACTGATTTTCCAGCTCTGGATGGTAGGAAGAAGGCTTCTGAAAATTATTTGAATTTAATAAAAGAGGTCAAAAATATACGAAACAATAGAATATAAAATAGTTTCGGAGTAATTCAATCAACTTGCCATTTTTATGAGTAAAACAAATAAAAACTTAACAAATTATTTAATTTATGTAAATATTGATTATAACAACAATATATAACTTATTAATTTATTATATAACTTAATCCAATGTTAATAATTAAGGCCAAACACACGATGTGTAGTATCTCTTTTTGGAAGACGCAAATATGGTTACTTTAATTTTCTCGAGGGAAGTCCTCATAAATTCCGAACAAAAGACAAGCACTAGCTAGTAGATAAACTGTAAAGTTCTGAGAAACAAGTTATTTTATAAGATGATCATTTACAAAATAATTTTCTTTTTCGTAGATTTTTGATACAACTGCGGTTTTTCATGATTATGAATATTGTCATAAGATATCACTTCGCCTTGCTTATTTGTCCTTGCTGTAGCTCTACACCCAGAGTTCTTGCGTCGCGAACATATCCAATATGTTGGCGGCGATTCGTTAAACGAATAACCATCCAAAATCAAATTCTTTTTACCTCTACCAGTCGGTACATATGCTGCTTTCACAATTTCTAAAATTTTAATGAAATAAATAAAATATCGTTCAAAGGAATACTTTCGCAAGCAAATGCTAGTGATAGACTAAAATATATAGAAAACTTTATTTTGAGATTAAACAATAATTTATTTACAATTACTTCGTAATAGTTAAACACATGTTCTTTCAAAGAATATTTTGATTGAAGTTGAAATTATAATATATTGTAAATGTGTTCTCAAGTCTCAACAACACTTAACTACCCAAAAATTATACAAATAATAAGTTTGTTGGTATCAAAAATACATTTTGAATATATATAAAACCTAAATAGGAATTATAGTGATTCCGTGTCACTATAATTCCTTATTTATATCCCACAAAAAAAAGTTGTGTGTACAGAATACACGTGTTAGGAGTGAAACTTCATTGGTTATTTATATTATGTACATCTCTATCTACTCCATACTAATCTTTATATAAAAATATTTTGCATATTTGAAAACAAATTAGTAAAAATAGCAATCTTTAAAGATAGCATTTTTATATATATATTATATGATATTCTTTCCGTTTTATATATGATATTTTTTATTATATCATGTCAGACAATAACAACGATTACTATGGCAACCTAATGCAAGCGTCACGGACATGACGGTTTTTCGTGACGATTTGTCATGACGCGACCTTGAAATTTTACTCTCATGCGCGTAAATAAGTTTCACTTCAATAATCATATGTTGAGTAAATGGTAAATATTTATTCACACTATGCATCATTTTAACGCTAAAACATATAATGAGATTAGATTTCCTCTTAATAAGATATTTTTCAACACTTATTGAAGCTATAAATCATCTTATCAAAGCCTACAAAATACTTATCATTAGCTTTAAATACCTTTATACGTTGAACTAAAAATAATCTTACAGTTAGGCTGGTTATTCATGATCATGTTTATCATAGAACAACACGACATCTGAGTCGATAGTGTAGATGTTAGCCCGACACTTCCCCGACTCGTGAGCACAACGCCATCGTGTACGGCCGTTTGGGAACTCCTTATCCTTCACGTACGAAAAATTTCCAGTAATAATCATCGCCTTCTGCTTGCCACCACTGAACCTAAACTGGCCGATTTCGTCGTTATTCGCTAATAACAAAACAATATAGTATAATAATATCTTAAAACTTAGTTATTGGTAAAAATTATATTACTAACAACATAAAGTAACTAAAATAATTCAGGTTGTATACAAACAGTGACAAAAACCAACTTTTTTCAAGAGACAAATATAAACACACAATTTATATAAACATAATATTTAATATTTAAACCTTAATGAGTAATACTCTTAATAAAATCAACATCTTATATCTATTTTAAAATATCTTTAAATTACATAAGTATTGTATATTGTAAAGCCGATTTATAATTATAAGGAATGTTCAGTACAATTACGTTGTCCTATCCAATAATAGACATGAATAAGGCACTTAATCCATATGTTGAAACACCAACCATCCCTAGACCATCAACTAGAAAAATCGTTATAAGTACTTTATAAAATATATATTGATAAAAAGCTTCATATAATATCTTTAGCTTTTATAGTAATAGAGTAAGCAAAGAATAAAATACAAAACTATCCCTACTTAACGGAAGTTCCATTAAGAATAAGCAAACGTACATCCTTTGTCCATTCTTAACTAATAAACAATGAGCTATTACACCAAATATTGACGGTTAAATATAATATTATCACAAGCTAAATTATTGCAAGGTCCATCTTCTTTTGCATCATAATCACTTTTCACTATTAACATTAACATATTTTATATTTACGAACTGGCCATGTACCTGTCCAGTAATGGTAAAGGTAATAACATCGTTATGTTTACACAATATAACTTGGAAAACTCCATCAAAATCACTTCGTTAACCATTAAAGTGTCAATAATTAACTCTTCTACAATCTTTTATAAAATGAACCACCCTCAATATAGTAATCAAACGAATTTAAATACTATAAAATACTTAATAGTGTGCAGACAAACACACAGATACCCAAGTGGCACAAGGAGCTACGTTCTATTGAAATTTCTAACTCATTCAATTACTGAAATACGGCTTTAATACAGCGTACATCCTTTAGAGAGGTTCTAGCAAAACATTTTTAAGTGCTAAATTTATGCTTACAACCCATGCATCAAAAACTACTACTACTAAAAGAACACCTTACACCAACATTAATATATAGGAGAAAGAATTTCAGTAAGTTACAAACGACGCTAATAAAAATATTTTATTAAGTTTAGATTATTATAATGGCTAGCGCTGTACACGTTTACTTTACGGTTATTAGTAAGCCATTATTCTGTGAGTATTCTGAAAATGCATAATTGAAGCTGTTTATTATTAGCCGGAACGGTACCTTCACCGACCTCGCAGCCGTGAAAGTATGTTGAAAAAAAAGATTTAAACATATATAGCGCATTCATCCACTGACCAACGACAGCTTTTATACTTTACTCTCGGGCTTTACCGAAATACCTAGTAGGAAAAACTTTTGCCTTTTTTTATAAAGCCGCTCTGATTCTAAGATATATCAAAAATAATTTTGTAGAAAACCATAAAACAATAATACTTAAGTGTTGTTTCCGGTGTCCAAAATACATAGCAGTTAAGTCAAAAATAAAGTTAAGTCTGCAAATATTTATGTGAACACATACTCGTAAATAGCTACTTTTCAGCTGATAATACAAAAGCAGTTCATTAAATTTTTTCTCCTGCAAGCTTGTTTAAGTTTTATCCACATAGATTACATATCGTATCAGAAAATGCTATGACGTATAAAATTACTTAAACATTAAAAACCTAATGTACGTCCTTGCATATTTTTTTCATTGAGTTTTATTTAAGTAACTGTAAAAACTTAAAACATATGTAAATCAGTACTAATAAAGCTTTTTAACCGATTTAACGCTGTAATGCTAATATCATGCAATTTTCAACAATGTAAACTTAAGTTGTTTAATTTTCCCTCAAATGAGTACTACGGTCATTCATCAAGTACAAAAAAGTACATAATCCTATTACATGAGAACAATTACCTTAAGCGATCCTCGAATGTCGTGAGTCAGTCATTACAGTCCTTGTACAACTTGGGTAATTAGAAATTCAACTTATCACCCGATTTTGCGCTTAATTAATTTAAAACAGCATTAATTAAGCATCAGTATATATTTTTACATATAGCTAATACCTAATTATTGAAATGAACATTTTAACAGAAAGTCCGTCGTGCTCTTAGAACAAGTTTAACTCTGTAATTTAACAAGTTACAAAATAACCTCTACGTACAAAATGCTAAATAATAATACTATTATATAACTTTGAAATATTTGAAGAGATGATATGTATAAGCAAAGGCAGTAAGTCTATACATATCAACCAATATTTCGCCAGACATAGAAGTCAAATTACAAAAATCGAGGGCCAAAATATGATATGATATATTGAGCTACTCTTAAAAATGTATTAACATGAATGTTAAAACTACAATAAAGCTACGAACTACGTTCATAGCTAAAAAGTTGATATAATAATAATACGAATATTCCAAGCACCAGAAGCTATTCTATATAGAAAACACTTACATTGGAATGATTTATATAAAAATATTTAATTTTTATCGTTAATTAAAAAGGTGTTTTTTGTCTTGACAGCTGGTTAAGAACCTAGGAATTTGTTGAAAACGTTTTAAATCAAGAATAAAATAAACTTAATGAGAATAAATAATCAATTAAATTAAGACTTTCTCAAAAAATATTAATATTAATATTTTTTATTAATTAATTATTAATTAATCAGTGATAATGTTGCAAGCTTTAACCGATCGGCTAGTTCGACATTGATAAAATATAGTTACACAAATCAAAAAAAAAATGCTTTCAATTCGGGTAAAATAAACGTTTGTTCAAATACCAGCCAAGTTGTCATACTCCTACTAGACGATATCTATATTATTGTTAATATATAAGCATTAATATTGTCACTTGAATCACAATCGAATATTATCCTTAAGGTATGCTTATAGTATTTACCTAAAATTAACCTATGGAGTTAATTGTATACGTAATACACAGAATAGAAATTCATGTCTTTCAAAAATTCACTATAACAACTAATACATATCTACCAGAAAAACAAAGGCCGATACGATATACATTACAATAAATTATGAAAAACTTCATATGGAATTTTAATTTGGAAGGGGACACGTTCGTACGTAGACGTAAAAAATGATCATGATTTCAAAACATGTCTGAACACACCCTTTTCCTTAAATAATTAAGAAGTGCGCGTTTAATTAAGCGATAAACATACATAAGACGTTTTAATTCTATTACGTAGGACGAATCTAAAACCTCCTTGAACGCAATAACTTAAATCTTGAAAAGCGCTTACATTAATGTTATAAACGTATAAAAGGTGTAAAAAATATTAAATTACAGCAATGGGTAGATGTTATAGGAAACGAAAAATATATATTTCAGCAGTTCTTCAAGCAGTTACCCCTAATATATGAATATTTTCGGTACGATTCATTTTGTCAATGTGCGAATATGGAATGTATTAAACTCATTAAAAAAGTACATTATATACATATATATATATATATATATATATATATATATATATATATATATATATATATACTAGAAATAAAAAAATATAAAATATCCAAGTGAAATAGAGTGATAGAAAATCAGTCAAGTTATAAAGTAACATAAAAGTTCTAAAAATTTTCACTTATTAGAAACTTAGCTGTTTTATAGACTTTTTTTCTATATAAAAAACCAAATTTCGAAATAAGAAAAATGGAGTAAGCACATAAATAGTAAACGACAATCCTTTTCTAGTACACAAATGTAAGTTGTAAAAATGTTTAAATATACATCAAGACGACACGACCCTGGGAGGATGGTTGTGCATTCCTTTTACAGCTACAACGTTCTTTCCCAACATGTGTATACGCGCCTTACAGTTTGTCTTCTTGGAGGTGCATCGCCAAATCACTTTATCCCTTAATTTAGATTCTTCGCAAAAAGGAAACGTGTTCACCATCATGATAATCTTGCCGCGTCGAGATTTCATATATTGGATGCCTGCGACAAATATTATTGTCAGAAACAGAAAAAACATTACATTGTCATTTTACCTAAAACCACCACCACGTATTGGATAAAGGTATTAAAACACATGGAGGATACATAGTTTTATTATAAAGAAATAAAACCAACGATTATTGATAAGTACAATTTAATATTTCACAAAACATACCCCGTACAAGAACCCAAAAATTCTTATTATATTATTTATGGTAAATACAAAATTACACTATAAGATTTGAAAGTATACAATAGTAACAGTGAATGAGGTAGATAGATAATGCTGATACTAGGTCAATCTGGCTCTTACTGAACCGAGGCGACTGACAACAGTCAAAATACCTTATTTTCCACTACGCAAGAGATTCACGATTAAAAATTATAAGAATTGCGATATTAGAATAGACTAATGAAAACGTAGGACACAATTTATTAAATAGTTTTAGTGAGAACCTCAAATATTGAAATAATCTAAATTATGAATACGAAATAGGGGTTATATTGAATTATGTAAATACAAAGTAATTGACGAATATTGTCATTGCTCTAAATATAATTAAAATCATATTATGCTAAATGTACTATAACTACAGGTCCGAGTCGTCGCCACGGTTCTAAGAAACCACGTTTATTTGGCGTAAGAGGCATCTCAGGTACAATAGAACATGTCAAAAGGTAACAGATGTTGACGATTAAAGCCTGCTTTTTTTATTATGCAATAAATAAAATAAATTCGACATATCATGTGCTACATAAAATTTGTATCGACATGGAGAAGAAAAAATCAATTCAAAGTAATCATTTCAGCGTCTAACTAAAGTAGAAAGCATAGTGAATAGGAAAATAATTCAGGTATTTTAAAAATCTATGAAAGACATATAAGAACTAAACCATATCAGTTGACAATAAATAGCTATAAAATTAATTGAAACGTCAAATATTCGCGTGTAAATCTAAGAATGTATTAAGTAAAAATTATAAAGAGTGACAAAACAAATTTCAGACTGTTAAAAATCTAAATGTTAAAAAAAATCAATAAAAAAATTCACTTAAAAGAGCTCGGTCTGTGATATAAAGATTAATTCCCAAAACTCAATTGCACTAAAACAGTATCCACATAATATTTCACTTTCATCTTGAAATCTTTACGTAGAATACATTTACTTACATTATATTTAATCTGCAATCGCATATAATCATAAATATACCATTTGACATGATCTACACTAAACCTAGGTAAAATGTCAACTCATTTTATATCTCACGCACACACTTAAGACCCCCGAACTATCTAAGTTATCTAATAACAATTAAAATTAGTCAAAATTTGTACTTATTTCAGAGTCTTAGAATATGGGCCTAATTTTTATTGAAAAAAATAATTTGACAAGCAACAAATCATTATTAAAAAAAACAATCAATAAAATATATTTAGACAACAGTCTCAAAAGAGGCTTTATACTATAGTTATCAACAGCAAACACCCGAGTACAAGTTAAAACTATATAAAGAGGTAGTTGAGTTTCATAGAGGTAATAAGAAAGCGCGCCGGACCCTGCGCAGCGAACCGCCCCGGCGCGCCACGGTACCCTAGCCTAACCTAGCTTAGCCTAAAACACCTTACTCGAGTAAAGCTTCTGAGTATTCATTCGTGTATATAAAATTGTATAATTAAACTAATCTGTAAAACCCGTATAAAAAGTGAAGAGGTAGTTGATTGAGCTTAAGTACTTAAAATCAATCCTAAGAGCAGAGCAACATCGACTGAAGTCTGCGCGCCACGACGAGAGCCGTAGAGCAAGCGTCTACTACGAAGGTAGGTACTTCGAAAAACACCTTTGATAATAATTATTCGACTTGATTTCTTAGAGATAAGAAGGCGGACGTTAAATTGTCTAAGTAGCATTATTTGGAAATTGTAAAAGTTAAATCTCTCAATATAAAATTAATATTTCTAAGTACAGTCGAGGGATCCTTTATTGCTTAATTCCGAACCGAGTTCGCGTTTCAGTCGCCAACGCGTCGTCGACGGCGTTAACCGTCGACCTCTCCATTACACCCGTTTCGATCGCAACTTTCCTACGGTCCTTCTCGAGTTCTGGCTACAACCTACCCACCTGCTGACCAACTTGCTTAGTGCCGTTACAGGTCGACAAGCATACCCGTCTCAATGATGCTGCTCAGATCGATTGAGCGGACATTGTAAATGAAACGTTAATTTGGGCTTATTTCCGGATAATTACCATCTATGAAAATTCATATCAATACATATACCATAAGTGTCCTACACATAGCGATGAGGCCGAATCGCAGTATTAAAACTACGAATTCACATCTCATTGTGTGTTCTAATCCAAACTTGTGCGCTCGATCACTAATGTGAAGACTCTTATCCCATTCAAGAAGTTCTAAAATACTTATTAAACTTTTCTTTAGCTCCCTATACATTTCCATAAATAACCCACACCTATACGAATAACTTTATAGACCTCGAAAAGACCGCTTAACCTAATTTGTTACGACAACAATCACATCATTGACTTGCTGTTAACATTTCGCCACGTCGTAACTTTCAAAAGACAACATATAGTTTTTGAGGTTTTACATACACATACCGACATTAGATAATCCAACGATGCCATCGCATTAAATTACTCCATCCTATCCCCATCTAACCTAAGTAATAATTATGATAATAATAGTAATAGTTATTCTAAAACATAAATTATTCTATAATACGAGTGCAAAAAGGCTTCGAAAATATCGGTTGGGCGATATTTCATCGTCGTTCAACGTGAATTCGTGAATACAACCGTTATACGCTCAAACGTGAAAAGAGAGTCGTAGTCGCAATTATTTAAATTTCTCTTCCATATTTAATCTTCCTCATTGCAAGGAGTATCAACCAACAGCGGTTTAGCAGCAGGGGTGTGCTGGGCGGGAGGTTGGATCGCATTGGGAGATTGTTGAGGACCAGTTCCTGTAGCGGCCGTTACGGCGGCCGAGGCATTCGCTGTAGCTGTTGCGTGAGCGGTGGCCGCATATAGAGCTAGAGCGTGTTGCAATTGAAGTAACTGGTGATGGGGATCTAAGGGAGCTGGGGCGCGGTGACCGCTTTGATGTGGGGTGCGAACCACGTATCTTCCATCTGCAAATCGACGAACATTCGGGGGAGCGTGGTTATGTGCATAACGAGAGCGCACTATACGCTCGTAACCTTCAGGACCCTCAGTGTTAACGTCTGCCAAACATCGCGAAGTTAGTCTCGAGGAACAATACCACTGTTTACGTCCATGTGCCAAATTGTTTTTCAAGCGAAATGTATAACCTCGGTGAAGTAGTAATCGTCCTTTTCCCGCTCGAATAAAACGCGCTGAAAATTAAAAATAAAGTTAGTACATGTCTGGGGTCAATTTACCTTTTAAATAAAACTGATCTTAATATTATACGTTAAATAACTTACAATCAATTAAGAACAATTTTATTAAGATTAGTATACTAAATAATTTAATGGTACTTATAAGCTATTTAATACTATGAAATAGGAAGGTAAATAACAACTATTTTTGAATAATATTTTATTTGGGGTTGCCACAATAAAAAAGAAAGTTTACGTTTAGCTAATTTAATATCACTTACACAAGTTACATTCCGAATTTCACCTAAACATCTATAAATACAATAGAAATAATTTTCTCTAAGAGATAAAAACATTTTTCATGAGCAAGATGTTTTTGGCACAAATTACAACAAAACTTATTTAAGAAGATATACCTAACAATAAAGTATCATAGACCCAGTGTTGAAGATAGGTATATAATTATGGCACAATTATCTTTGTACTTTAACATTTAACACAAATCAGTAAAAACATAAAAAGGGAAGCACGTGGACGAAATTTTTATTTTATCCTTATTTAATTCATCTGAGCATTGAAAGTGTTCAACATTTAGGTATAAAAATCTTAAAAACCTTAGTTACGCACAACAAAGAGAAAATTTGGCATCAGTACCATCATATCTAGATTGAGATCATAATTCTTCTATACGCTTACATATAATATATTATACTAACTAAAATATACAACAAAGTGACTAGTAAATTATAATGAGACAATTATTGGAATAAGTTGTATGAAATATCACCATTTTTTTTGTCAGTACCAGTTATTTGTAAATTGTCAGATTTTTCTGTTGAATGCATCGAATGTACCTACACCTATAGCTATAATTAAAACATCGCAAACTACCAAATAATTTACAAATACGTGTTTGTCAAATACACTAACATCTTCTACCGAACTTATAACGTACATTATCGAAAAATTTGATAAATCCATAAAATATAACAAATCATTCAGACAAAAATTTGTCAAAGACGTTTTAAAAAGGACATACATATAGTATTTACATAAAGTTTTAGAATCGATACTGATTATGTCCAAAACGTGTATATTATAACAAGCTTAATATCTAGTTATCCAAGCGTTTGGATCGAAATTATCGAAATCGAGATGGGGCATTCTCGGCAGTAGAAGCGGCGTGGGTGGGGATGACGTAGGCGGTCCATGTTGCTTGTTATTCCGTCGCCCACAACGACCGGCGTGGTTGTGTTCACCGACGAGCTTATGTAGCTTTCCTTTCTGCGTGTACGCTTTACAACCACAGCCTCCCATAGTGCATCGCCATCTGACTATCCCAGACCTCATAGTATGAGCAGCGTAGAAACTGCGACCTTTAACCCACAAGCGAGGCCTGCCACCCGGTCCGACACACAGTCGTACGAATTTTTCTGAAAGATCAAATCATTGTAGAAAAACATGTATTATATAAGACATTTTCGAAACAACAGCAATTACCAATATTTGAGACGATGACAAATAAATAATATCAAATGGGGTGTAAAAATGAATTAATATGTAGACCAAAATAAATATAGGATTATTCTTTTATAAGTTATTCTGTCACAGCAATTTATTGATATCTGTAATTTAACATAGCTAAATATGTGGTACATTGATTTATTGATATTAATAATCATAAATATGTAGTTTTGTGTAACTAGTCTTAACAGTAATAAATAATAATTATACTAACAACACTACTGGTAATAAACAAGCTCTTGCATGAATAACCAAAAAAATCACACATTTATTAAACTACACTTATTAGAATTATTGCTAGGTTTACAATATATCTTAAACTTAGGTTTACAGTACGTAGGGCTTTATCGGTCGCTGGCTGGAATGGCCATATATTAAAATGGGAATGTAATATTTTATATTTGAAAGTCCTTAGCTTAGTATCGACCGATAAACACCTGTTATTTATAATATACAATTAACTATATCTTAACATAATGTCAGATTTTGAGATCATTGTAGACAGTAGCTACGAATTTTCAGACTAGACATTTGACTAGAGATACCATTCTGCACTTGATATATACATATATCCTGTTTGTGCACAATTAAATCTAAATAAATAAATAATCCTATCCTCTTAGATAAAGCCGTGATAATTTTAAGTCCAAATCTAATCAACTGGAACCAGTTATACAAATATAATCCTGCTTATTAAATTCCTGCTGTAAAACTTATATATGGGTGAAAATAGTGTTATATTTAATGCTTGCAATTCTAATTTTATTTATATCATCATAATGCAACTATTTAAATGCTCACAAAACATTAAAATCATTTTTAAAGATTACGAAAATTAATATGAATTTCCGAGCAATATAAGGGGCAAAAGTGACGTCAGATAAGAATAAAACTTAGGGTGACGGCACTGTGTTACTCGTATAATAAATTAGTCATCCAGTACGGCTTTGGCCTGAGTAGCCAAGGCGGCATGAGTGAAAGCCCTATACGAGGGAGCTGTCGACGTCGGAGGCAAAGCCGGGGGCTCGTGCGAGTGCACATTGCTTAGAGCAAATATCCGATCGTGCAACGTATGCGCGTACGCACGGCAGGTCCGCCTAGTGCACCGCCATCGCACCTTGCTCTTCTCGGGAAACACTTTCTCCGCGTAAAAAGAAAACCCGCCGAGCCGCATATGACGCCGACCGCGGTTAGATATCACGAACTCCACTGTAAGATAAACACACATCACTAACTGCTCTTACAAGATAGTTATTTAGATATGAGTACATTACATAGAAATCTATTACGGCATAAACTACGTTTTAATCTAAGCTTTTATCAGCACTAGTATTATTAATAGTAATATGAGGAAATAAAACTACAGTTAACATTAAATATTTATTTTTCAGCAGATATTATTTCAATTAAGCTTTCAATGTGAGTAATCTGATCGGTGTGCTTTTGTGGGACGTGGTTGTGGTCGAAGTGGCGCATGACTAAGCGACCTTCGATGGTGAGAGCTCGAGCTGGGCATCCTAATGGTTTACGATTCCTGCATGTCCAGTATACACGGGTCCCTCGCTTCTTACGGGCTACGAACCCGTAACCGTCGAGCATGAGGCAGGGAGCCCCTCGCTGAGTCACCGTGTATCGCACCGCACTTTCCAGACTTCCAACATCCGCTCCTGTCACGTCAATTGCCGTGGCAATGTATGATATTAAATTATTGAGTGCTTACAATAATAAGTCCATGTTATAGTCACTATTTATTATGCAACTAGATCACAATGCTTGATACAAGTCATCCAGAAACATAATTCAATTCATTTCATGAACAAAAACCACATCTTAAATCTAATTCACTTTACTATTAAAAGTCTAATCTACCACGACTTATTCTAAAAATTATGGTAATAAATCCACAAGAAATAACATTTCGTCAAAATAAAATATCAAGACGAACGACAAATTGGCCTTCTGAATACAAAATATTTACATTAAAACATACGTAGACCACGTAAATATCAAAACATAATAATTAAACAATCACACATGCAAAATTTAAAGATATACATATTATATTGTAATAGCAAATTTCAGACAGTCGGACAAGTAACCACTTCGCCTAATTCATATTTACGTGTAATTTTTTTCATATGATTTTCAACATGATTGTGTACAGAGTTAGTTATTTTCAAAACATTATTTTTTGACGTAATCCTCGCTCGACAACGCTTGCCATAGTCCATACAGCGCCAGAACGTGCGTCCACTCCTCACACTGTCGGTTACAAAGATATATGGTTCATATATTAACTGTAGGTGACCACTTTTGGTCTGGATGAAATGCAGATCCCCTTTTGCACCACTGTTGATGTTTCCTAAAACTAAACACATAATACATTTCAGTTTCGGATCAGAAGATGCCTAACAACCACAGCTGCCCAAGAAAAATTATAAATATCTGTAATAAAACACATCAGAAAGAGAAAAAAATTTAATTGTTTAATTCAATTTATTGTAAACAATTAACAAAAAGAGACATTTATAACCCAGGCTCAAAAAACGATTAAACAGTGTCTAACAAATTATTAATAAGTATAACAAATCTTCATATAGCAAAACTTTAAAAATAAAATGTTATTAGAATTTCATATGAAATAAATATGTAGTATAATATAGTGGCACTTTCTGTAATTCTGATTTTGAAAATTGCTTAGTTTTATTTTGTTACACATATTTAATCTAAAATGTTTTATGTAGAAAACACCATACTATGTTTAGTTTATCACAGCTTATCCATACATTTAAAAAGCTTAGTAAAACAATTGACTTTACAACTAAAAATTATGTTTATGATAGTCATACTATTTTAATAATCTACATAATATATAAAATTCTCGTGTCACAGTGTTTGTAACAAAACTTCTCTGAAACGGCTTGACCGATTCTTTTGAAATATTGTGTGTTTATTCAGTAGGTCTGAGAATAGGTTGTAAGCTATTTTTCATACCAGTGATAAGGGTGGCGCACCCAAAAAAAATATTTTTAATTTGCGCAATTTCTTTTATTTTAATTCTTTTATGATGCGGCATTAAAATATACATACAAATATACATTTTCACTGGGGACGAACCCTAGTGACGCGAGGGTGAGTCGCTAGTAATATATAAAGAATAAATGCTAATATTATAAAGAATTATTTTTTTTGTTTGTAACGGATAAACTGAAAAATCGCTGAACCGATTTAGATGAAATTTGGTATGAAGATGGCTTAAGACCCTGGGAAGGATATAGCATAGTTTTTATCCTAGCAATCATCGCTTAAGGAGATGAAAAAAGGGTATGAAAGTTTGTATGGGAAATCTTACTTAAAAACTAGTCTTCTATCGAAAAGTTTATTCAGAAGTTTTTAACTTTCCAGTCAAGTTTTAAGATTGCATGGGTCTATGTGGCAGATACTAATTATTGCTTTAAATTAGTAAAACATTAAAGCATTTTCTAAATACAGAGAAACTCAAGTTAATAGCTTTCCTAAGAATTTATAAATAAATACAGCTTCATAAAAATGTATATAATTTAGACACTTCTCATTTTTCATACAAGTGTTTAAACTGCAGTAATTAAGCAGGGAATAGAGTTTATTATTAGATCGCATTTTTACATATCCAGATATTTGTAAGTATTTCCTTATTTACAGTATTAAAATATCTGTTTTTAATTTAAAGATAGCTAACACATATTGTAACTTCATATAATGTTATTTAGACCTTATCAAATCCAAACAACAATTACCTATTAATCTCAAGAATGTAAAAACCAATTCTAACAGACTTTATTTACTAATGTAATGAATTTTATGTATTAATTATTATTAATGGTATGTTTGTTCATTTCTTCATTTCACTAAAAATAATGAAAGTGATCAGAGACAATCTTATCACCAAAAATGAAATAGTACCTAATTCTTAAGTTTACAAAATAATTATAACCAATATTATCAAATAATTATTGTTATTAAAACATAATAAGTATAACATCCAAGTATCGGAGATAAATTACAGTTTATAATATTCTCTTCTCTGTATTAACATCAAAATTATCAAATTATATGCTAATACAGGTAAAGCTTACAATGGCGTAATAGTTTTAATATCAGTCATAATAGATTCAATGTTAGAAGCAAACAAAATTATTTAAATCTAGGTAAAAAAACATACAAACTAAAGCAATATTTACAATAGCTCAGTACAACCAGAAGTCTTGTAGAAAATATAAAGATAATAAAATAAATATAAACCCCAATGATTTTTTCAAATCTTTCATTCGCATATGGATAAACCTGAACAAATTAGTGTGATTGAATTTTATAATAAATGAATAGATTTTTAGATACTAAGCAAAGAATAAGTATAGCTGACTTTAATACTGACTTTCTTGTCGAATAGATTTCAATGTTTTCTAGGCAATATTAAAGTAGTAGCCCAATAGTAACTTGAAAAATCAAATAAAGCGAGTTCACCCAGGTCTTGCATCAGTGATTTTGTTATGTAAGAATCATATTCAACATGATTACCACATAATTAATGCCTTTTAAAGGCATGACACTTGATATGTACCTAAACAATGTAAAAATTCAATAGAAAGAAAAAGCTCATATTTTTTAATCATAACTTTTATTGAAAATTTTATAGTCCCATCCCACTGGTTTGAATCTCATGATAAAATTATCTCAAAATTCATAAGACATATTCTAAGAACAATGTTAACTAAGGAAATAGAACCAAGAAAACAATGTAGTTAATAGGTTTTCTCTTAATAAAATGTAAATATAAAATTACTAAAAGTAGAAAATAAATAAATTATATTTAATTTAATGCGCTTAACAAGTAAACGTCTGTCATCAAAATGTATGTATTTACTGAACTTCAATTTATAGGTTATGTTTACAAATAACGCGCGCAAAATATTTATAACGATGTTTGTTGAATCTTTTAAATATAAAAATTGGTAAATAAAATCACATATATTACGCTAAATTAAAATAAATCACTTAAAAAAGCCGCATATCAAGAGTAAGACTAATACTTGGTACTCGGTTTGACAACCTCTAGTAGTTTGATGTCGTGTAACTTATGAAATTTACCTTTAAGTCACTTAAATAGAAACTTAAATTGTACATACCAAGAAAAATCCAAAGCCAATTGCACTCTTTACTTCACAAGCACTAATTATTAACACTAATAAAACACTAAATAACATAAAACATTTGACGTAAACACGTTCAAAGTTAAAACGCCACTTACACTAAAACCACTTTAAAGTCCGCCTGAAAATACTGTAGTAATGTTTTGTTGTACACCATTACTATTTTATTCAAATAAACTTATTCAATAAGCTCTATATTTTTTACTATTTCTCAAAATAGTAAACAATCCCTAAATGACACATTTGCGACCATAGATCTCACGGCGTTTAGACGGCAACCACAAATAACGGAATTGTATTCCGTGTTACGCATACTATGTAATAACTATATTAAATTATGATGGTACTTTTCATGATATATCATAAGGGAAATTCAAAATTTTATCGAATATTCATATTTACTTTTTTTAAAGTAAGATTAATTATTTTTATAATGCCTTTATATAATACATTATAGAAAAACAAGTTAGGAATCTAAATTTTGTTAAATTATATCAGATATTTTGAAATCCAAGCATATAATTTATTATTAAAAGACTGACTTTTCAAAGAACATTGGCCGTTATCATTAATATTGTATAAATAGATACGATTTTAAAAATAATAAAAGAAGTAATAAAAGATTTTTATTGAAACAACTTTAATATCTTAAAAACCCATATTACCTAAATTTCACCATTGATTTGCTTTTAGCATATTATGAATGAAGAAATATAATTGAATATACTAAGGAAAAAAGTAAATAATGTACATGGTGATGAATTATATAAAATTTATTGTAACTTATGGCGCCATCTGTTATGTCAATAAAATAACATTTTATTTACAATTACAATAAATTAGGTTAAGTAGCGCCATCTCTTTATAAATTGTAGTAATAAATTTATTATAGAATGAAGAATCTTACCTATTATTTAGAATTTTTGTATGTAACATATTGTTAGTAATGTTGTACCTATGTAACTATAAATATTCGTTTTCAAATTTTTAACTACAATATTTTAAGGTCTAAACTGCATATTTTAAACTCTCTATCCAGGATATAGTAAAAAAACACGATATAACAGCATTATACTTTATTCATGATATCACAGGCTTTTCAAAGAACAAACTTATTCTTATGGTAATACCTAATACTAATATAAGTTTATATAAAATAGTGAATAACGGAATAATGTTAGTTTCTTTTGATAGGTAATAATAAAATATTATATTATGGTACATAAAATTGTTTTACATGTTTGCTTGTTCCTTTTTTAAGTTTCAAGTTGTGAATAGACAAAATATGTACACAATATACTCACTGCTCAGCTTACTTCATCTTCTGCTCTTATAAACAGCTCTATTCAAGAAACCACTAAGTCCACTTTTTCATTTACAAAATATTTGAACGAGTATATACATTAAGGTTAAATTCTTTTTATTAAAAATATATTAAGTACTAGCACAACCCGCGGCTATGCTCGCGCTAAAACTAC